GCTCTCTCTCTCTCTCTCTCAATAGAAAAGTATCGGTTAAGTCTGAACAAATCTCGCAATATATACCTTGGTTTCCGATCCTATTTGTGGGGAGTGTTGCAGATATAATGAAAAAACAGTTACAGGATTGATGGCAAAGATTGCTTTCTTTAGTCTAAACAAGCTGAAGAGGATGGTTAGGATCCACAAAGATCCTCTTCCAGTGTTGACGAACAAAAATGTGGTTTATAAAATATCGTGCAAAGACTGTGATGCATCACAGATGTGTGGGACAAACTTTCAAACAACTGACAACGAGGATTTCGGAACACCACAATCACATAAACAGGAATATGGCAACTGCGTCTGTGATCACAGACGCAGTTGTCATAGATTGCAATATAATCATGAATTTAATTGGAATGATGTAAGGATAGAGAATGCCTTTTAGAAAAAGGATTAACATCAGAAATGTTGTGTATAAAACAACAATAAAATAGTCTTAATTTACAAACAGATACGGAATTTTTACATAATGGGTATGTCTCTATCTTAAACAAATTATAAATCCTTCGTCATCTGCGGGCTCTAGCTTTATTTTTGGCTGTCCGAGAGGAAAGAAAAGAGAGGGCTTATTTGTTATCTTAATATTGTTATTTATTCCACATATCCTTCTGTTGTCTTGTTTACTAATTTGACTTTATTTCCACATATGATTCGTAGAGGCCGAACCGTTGAAATTCCTTCCGTTTTTTACTTTTTAAAAAATTGCTAATTTCATTACGCAAGACGGAATAAAACTTTTAACACTGCTGCCTTTTTTAATTAATATTTTACTTTGGGACCGATTGCACTAGGTGACAAACATCTTTATAACATTGACATTCACATGGTGAGTGATTCAGAAGACAAAAAATATATAATAAAATATATTTCTCGCGGCTCGTGTATAGATTGCCGTTTGAAGTAAACAATTTCTCACACGCCTATCAACGATGATCGGGCGGGAGTATCTTACCGCGCGCTTGCATTTGTCGATGGGCCGGGCTAATACGGTGATTTTTAAGAATTAATAACTCGTTAATTATTGCGAAAATTGCAAAAATGGTAGACGACTTTTTGACTCAGTCAAAAGCCCGCTCTACCTACACACACGAAATTAGTTCCATTAAGTCTGAAACACGGATATGCGATTTATGCATTTAAATCATATATAATCTTTGAAATTTATAAATGATTAAACGTTACAGATAATTATTCTCTTCGCTAGATGAAAATAAAAGTCTTACATAGAAGATTTTCCTGCTTCTTTTATTTTTATTTTTATAGTTATATGAAGAGATAGAATAATACGTAACGAAAATATGTTTATGTATATTATAAATAACATAATAATACACTACAAACTTTTCTAAAACATACTCTAGTTTAATAAATCTTATTCACTTGACATCAATTGTATGTCTTAAATTAAAAAATAAAAATATTAATTCTTCCCTCAAAAGGGAGAGAGAGAGAGAGAGAGAGAGAGAGAGAGAGTAATT